ACATCGGGCAAGGGGTAGTCACGCCGATCAACATAACTAGGGAGAGCATAGTCTTCACTCTTCACCACGCTCCCTAAAACACATTGGATGAATCTGAAAACCCATGTGGGTAGAGTCCAGGCAGAAGGGTGACAGCAGGTCAATGGAAGCACTTGACCTAACCAAACCCTCAGGTTTTATAGTCACCAGAGGTAGGATCGGGGCTGGATAGGCAATTGGACTATAAATGAAGTCCCAACTACAGGGACTCATGTACAGAACATGAAACTCAAAAAGGGAAAGGCAGTTGCTGCAGGGTACAGTGATAGCTCACTGAGACTCCAGAGGCAACTCAGAAACTGTGGGCCTCATACAAAAGGTATCAATCACAGAGCCACCTACTCATTTGTTTATTAACAACTTACCAAATACCTACTGTTCACTATACATATGGGATTGTCAGGAAACAACCAAGCATTCTTACCTAACCATGGGCTTACATTCTGTGAGAAACAAGCAAGACCTAACACATGGAGTCACATGCTAGGAATGCACATGTGGCAAGATCCTGAACTTGCCAGAGGAGGTAGCCCTGGAAACTCCAAGGGAAGAATGATATGCTCAATAAGCAGAGTCAGGTCAGTTCAGTTCTGCTTTCCTTCCAATCTATGTTCACTTAATACTCACAGGTCAAGACAGCCCAAACTGAGCAGTGGAAAGAGTCAGAGCTGAGTGGAGGCTTTTTCTTGCTGCTCCACTGCATCACGTGAGCATGCACCTGTGCATCCCACAGGACATAGCAGGACAAAGCTCAGGGTACAGGAAACAAGTTGATTGTCCCCCATGGATTCCTGCTGCTAAAAGCTCTAACTCTGCCCGACCTGTCTTAGGGAGAAAGCCTTGCCAAAATACTTTGCTCCCCATAAGCTCAGTCCCATGTCTAAACCTCCCAGATCATGTTGGTAAACATCACTAAGCCTTAAGCAAGGCTGTGATCCTCCCAGGTATTTATTTGGTACACAAAAGACCAGTGAGGCTCTGTTCTATTTAACCTCATCCCAAAAGAATCTGAACCAAAACAGCCAGAATTACTTTCCCATTTTAACTCTTAGCATCCCATAAACTTGGGCATGATTGCACATGCCTGTAATACAAGCACTTGACAGTCTGAGGCAGAAGCGAGACCTGCCTGAACTACATAGGGAAACACTGTCTCAAAGCACAGGAGATGCTCAGAAAGAGAAAGGCAGCTACTGAACACTTCCACCAAGTTCAACACACACCCTACCCAAGCCCTGTTTCTTTAGGCATAAAACACTTGGATTACAGGCTATCAAAGTAGATGTAAATTAGGATGAGAATGTTCGAGAACCAACCGTGGTGATAATAGCACATACCAGCAACTATACTAAAAACAATGAGAAGCATGCAATTTAAACGAATCAATGCATTGTGTGAATTACAGCTCAGCTATCAGACTGCCATAAACTCTCATGGTCTCAGAATACACTAGCCATAAAATGGCGTATTCTAGACCAAGAGTGTTTAACGTATTTTCTAGGTACACTTCAGAGTTTTGTGCTTGTCCTTGGGATCAGAGAAAACCAAAGGCTCATGAGCCAACCACTGGTGCGGGAGAATTATCTGTATTCTGTCAATCATATTTTAATAAAACGCTGATTGGCCAGGCAGGAAGTAGAGGCGGGGAAAACTAGACAGGAAGTAAAGGTGATGCAATGAGAACAGGAGAATTCTGGGAAGCAGGAAGCTCCCTCCGCACTCCTGCACAGACCACCGAAGAGGCAGCATGTAACTTGCCCAGCTGAGAAAGGTACGGAGCCATGTGGCTAATGTAGATAAGGATAATGGGGTAACAAGAAGCCTGACCTAATGGGCCAATCAGTTTATAACCTTATGGAGTCCTGTGTGTGATTTTCTTTGGGATTTGCCGGCTGTGGGGTACCAGGCAGGATGGAAACCCCAACAAGCCGGCCCCCTCATGTTACAAACCACTCTCTTAAAAGGGACAGAGGGTCCAGATCCCACAGCCTACTTCCTCCTAGATGAAGCCACTTGTGCAGGACCAGGTGCCACCATGCCCAAGTGTTCCAAGCGTGACAAAGAAGTGTATTTGCTGAATGACCCCACTAGGTAAAGACTGGCATCATCCCCACCTGAAGAGTGAGAAATATGGTATAACGCTGACCTCTGGGGTCTATGCTGAGCATGGAAGACGAGCCCTACTGCAAGCAATCTTACTACTCAGCCATGTTTGGGCCTAAAGGCTTTGGGTAAGGTGGAGCTGACAGTCTTACTTCCAAGCAGACCCAGGTTGTAGAAACCCTCCTCCCTGACTAGGCACATGCCAGGTCTTACCCTTGGACATCAGGGGTTCCCAGAAGCCCTTCACGCCCTAAAAGCTGAATCTTTCAGAGGAAATTTAAAAAATATTAAAAGGGAGACAAAAGAAAAGATTTTGAATTCAATAAGGTCACTTCTGTTCTCAACCAAGATGAGTTTTGCCTTGCTTGTCAGATCTGTTAGGTCTCAGCTCCCTTCTTATTCTCGCAGTTACACTATGAAGACCTCAACTGACAGCAGTGCCCCAGTGGAGTTTAACTGCACCCTAATACTGTAAGCATATGTTATCCACGGAGGACTCCTATGTGGGTTAATAAAGAAAAGTTTTCCTTTTCCAAACACCTTTCACTTATGTCTCAGCCTGCGTCCACAGTGCCAGACTAAACAGTGCACCTCTGGGACTCTCACTGTCTACCACTGTGTTCATCTCACCAGCCCCCTCTACAACTGCAAGCTCCTTGGGGAAGGTCCACCTCTCACATTATCTTCTCAGTACCTAACACTGGTACAAAGAGTATGCTTCATAAACGCGGAGCTAAAATGGTGCTGAGCCAGGCTTGGAACTAAACCTTGTGTGTCTGTACATTTCAGGTAAGAAGGTAGATGTTTCAGGAACTAGTCCATGATTACAATGAAATCCAAACACAGCTTAGACCCAAGACCACCACCCTTTGCTTCCATTGCTTCTGTGACGGCAACAGAAGGGGGCTTAAGAAGTTAAGAATGGGAAAAGAATTCAAGTCAGATATGGAGACACTCTTCAGAAGGGACAGAACTTTACATGTATGGTAATGCACCTTTAACCCCAGCACTCAGAAGGCAGAGCAAAGAACCCCATGAGGTCAAGGCCAGCCAGAGCTACACGACAGGGAAGGATGGAAAGAGGAAAGAAGGGCATATTTGTTTAAAACCCTACCACACTTTTAGACATAAAGCAAAGAAAAAATAATCCCAGAGAACGTAGACAATAACATGGACCCTAAGACAGACATACATGGATCTAATGTACATGGGGAAGTAGAAAAAGACAAGATCTCCTGAGTAAATTGGGAGCATGGGGACCTTGAGAGAAGGGGAGAGGAGAGAAAGGGAGGGGAGCGGAGAAAAATATATAGCTCAATAAAAACAATAAAATAATAATAATAAACAACAACAAAAATAAAACCCTACCACAGTGTCTTAGACATAGGAACAAAATGACATTAAGTTAGTCTATTTGGAAGTAAAAGTTCTTAGCTAGGCATGGTGGTACAGGCCTTGAATCCCAGCACTTGGGAGGCAGAGGAGGGAAATCTCTGAGTTTGAGGTCAGCCTGGTCTACAGAGTGAGTTCCAGGACAGCCAGGACTAACAGAGAAAATCTATCTTGAATAACAAAACAGACAGACAGACAGACAGACAGACAGACAGACAAGTCTCACTTCACTTACCATGTGCTCGAACACACACCGAGGTGGAAATGGCTCTCTTGCCAATTAGGCTAAGTGCCCTTGCAGCCAACATTCTGAAAGACAAAAACGTACACTTCTAACAATGAGAGAAAACACCTTTTAGAGTGTGTTATTGCCATAGAGCATTTAGGAGCTACATGCAACTCATTCCTCCAACGTTAAATGATTTTTTTTTGTTGCTATGATTTCATCAGACTTTTAAGGCACAGGCTGCTGACCTGTGGCTTGCACCCTATCCTCCTCTACCTCATAAGAGCTCGCATTACAGGCCAGCCAGCAGCACGCGCCCAGAATCCGTTTTTATAACTGATGCGGATGCACGAAGTGGCGCAGGATGAGTTGGGTTTTTTTAGTCTGCATTTACGGAGCGCCCCGCTATCAAACCGAAGGCTGTAATAAACGGCTTTGGCCAATGAATCAGAAACTCGGCTTCTTAAGAAATAATTAGACAAAATGACTAAAATAGCGAGAACTCGACAGAGCACACGGTGCAGCCACGAGCTGTTCCTCGCGCTGGCAGTGAAAACACCGCCCGCGACTGCGTTTTACTTAAAAACGACTCGAATGGCGAGCGGAGGAGGCTTTCCATGTCCTGGCCCGCTTCCAGTCCCTGCGGCCCACAGGCGATCTCGATGACCCTGTCGCCCGCCCCAGTGACCGGAGCTGCAGGCCTCACTTTTGCACAGCCTCTCGGAGACACGCTCTCCGGGAACGGACGCCCGGGGCGGCAGAAACCGTAACGTGACGTCAGGGCTCGCCTCGCCGCGCTTCGGGCCTGGCGGAGCGGGAACGCCAGAAGCGGGCCAGGCCCTAGCCGAACAAGCCAGCGGGGACCCAGGACAACAGACCCGCCCGGGAAGCGGGCGCGCCAAGGTCACGGAGCGGCTCAAGTCCCGGTCCCGCGGGCGCCTCAGCATCACCGCTGCCGCCCCGACGCTCCAACTCCTCGGCCCCCGGCCACGCCGCCCTCACCCGCTGTCAAAAGCCGACACCCGCTGTCACCTGCCACCGCTGCCCCAGCGACCGCCTCGACCGCCCTCTACACCCAGGCAGCTCGCGACCGGAAGAGCAGTATCAGCACCGGAAGAGCAAGATGGGGCCGCGGAGCACCGCGGGATCGAGGAAGCCCCGCCCACACGCGTCGGGACGGGGGCGAGGCGCCGCAACTGTCGCGAAAAGCCGCGCGAGCCACGCGGCTTTCCGGCAGGCGCTGGCAAATACGCTTTCCGGCGGGCGGGTCGAGGCGGGAGGTTGCTAGTGGAGGCGTGAGCTTGCCTACCGGTGCAGCGGGGTCGTGTTTTGCACCTTGGGGGCCTCCTTGGCGACGTGAGCACCTCGACTCAGCATGCCGGGCGTGAAGCTGACTACCCAGGCCTACTGCAAGATGGTGCTACACGGCGCCAAGTACCCGCACTGCGCGGTCAACGGGCTTCTGGTGGCCGAGAGGCAGAGGCCGCGCAAGGAGCATCCGCCGGGCTCGGGCAGCCACACTCTCTTCGTGGACTGCATCCCGCTTTTCCACGGCACGCTGGCCCTGGCGCCCATGCTGGAGGTGGCGCTCACCCTGGTAAGGTCGGGGTCACGCGGGATTCTGGGCTGGGCGAAGTCAGGCGGCCTTCTTTCGAGAAGCGTCTCCTCCTGGGTAACGTGCTCTCAAGGTTTTGTAAAATTACCAAGAAACCGAGCGTGGTGTGTATTCTTCAAACCAGCGCTCGGGACGTGAAGGTAGGTGGAGCTCCGTGAGTTCGAGGTCAACCTAGTCTACGTAGAGATACCTGTGATAGTTAACGCTGCATTTAAAGTTTAAACTAAGCTTGAGAGACCAAAAAGAAAAAACAATGCCTCAAGCATGTAAACCTCTAGCATGGCTGTACGCAGTTCTCCTACCCCAGACGGTGAAGACTATTTTTAAAATCGACTGATCTTGAAGAATTTGCTCTTCTAGCAAGATAGTAGGTCATAAAACTATTCCTGCTTTTGTAATCAAACTTTGGCTTTCTCCGCTCAAAAGATAGACCCAAAATTATAGCTTTGTAATTTTTGCCTTTATAAGCCTTGGGCTGATAATAGCTAGGTGCTGCGTCCTGGGAGCGCTCTCAGATGTAGACCTGATGCCAGTGCAAGTCAGTCCTCGTGCCAGTATCTCAATAAAAAACTCCATCTTATTAAAATAAAATGTATTCACGAACGACCCCAGACCCATAACAACTCTGCCTCAAAAAAGTAAAGAAACACAAGTTGAAGTAGGCAGTAGCCCCTCCTTAAGAGACTTTAGCCTGCCTGAGCCCGGCCGCCATGACCCTGGCTGGGTTTGCCCTTCTCCCCCATTCCCTCTGCCTTGCTCAAGACTGAGATTCCATTCTCTCAGCTCGCCTGAGCAGCAGCACTCATTACAACTTCGTTTACATCTCAGAATGAGCTCTGAGATGAAGCTAGAGCGGGCAGGGCTGATGTGCCCCCAGCCGACCCCGTTCCAAACGTGTAGCCCAGACTAGCCTTGACCTCTCAATACTCTGCCCCGCTCAGTTCCTGAGAACTGGGACAGAACTAGCATGCCTTGACATCTGTTTCATTTTGTTTGTTTGGAAAGGGTTTCACTTTTGTAGCCCTGGCTGATCTGGAACACTACGTAGACCAGGCTGGCCTCCAAAATACAGAGGTCAGCCTGCCTCAGTCTCCCGAGTGCTAGGACTAAAGTGTGTGCACCGCCAGGCCTAGCTCATCCTTTTCTTAATTTACATTACAGCACCAAGGGAAATGTCCCACCAACTACAGGTGTCTTTAGGTGAATTGTCTTAAATTTACTGAGCACATTTTTTGAGTGGTTTTGGGTTTTTGTTGTTGGTTTTGGTTTTTTGAGACAAGGTTTCTCTTTAGCCTTGGAACCTGTCCTGGATCTAGCTTTTGTAGACCAGGCTGGCTACGAACTCACAGAGATCATCCTGCCTCTTGTCTTTGAGTGTCTTAAAAAATTATTGCATGTATTTTGTTTTTAAATTTTAGATTCTTGGGGGCTGGGCAAATATGTGGGTGGTATTTATGAACTCGTGAATTTTAGTTTTTGAAGAAGTGTACTTTTCGTATCTGAAGCATCGCTGAGGATTCCTGTGCATTTTCCAGATCAGTCTTGTTCTGTTAGCAAAGAAGTTGCATGTGGCTTAATGTGAACCTGGCAGGGCCCTGCCTTTCTCGGGCTCCCCACTGAGTGTGGCTTGCGTGGCTTGAACCCAGGATTGGGTTAGATTTGGATCTGCAGTGGGCTGACAAGCTCTATACAGAAGAAACAGCAGCTAATAGAGGGTTTCGGGAGGTAGCTGAAGCACTTACTGCTCTTGAAAGGAAGAGGTAGTTCCTAACACTCAGGTCAGGCACCTACAACTATCTGTGACTCCATCCCCGGATCTGACCCCCTCTTATGACTTCTGTGGGCACGGCACTCACATGCCTATACCCACACAAGAGGCAGGCAGATTGCTGAGCCATAGCATGTGCCTTTAATCCCAACACTCGGAAGGCAGAGGCAGGCGGATCTCTGTGAGTTGAGGCGAGCCTGGTGTACAGGATGAGTTTTAGAACACCCACAGCTACATAGTGAGACCATGTCTGAAAGAAAGAAATGTAAAATAAGATTTTTTTTTTTCCACCTTAAAAAAAAATCAGTTCATCCAAGCCTTGGAAGTTAGGATAGTCAGGATGGTCAAGCCAGCCTTGGGGCCTTCACAGGCACTGGGAGGTTCTGCCTTTCTCAATCTCCACCTCAAGCCCAAACCCACTTTTCAAGTTTTAGCATCTGTCTTGGGCTCTGTGCACCAAGTGCTCTGTCTGCTCTGCTCTCTTTTCGTGCTGTCCTGGGACAGTGTGGGGCCTCTGGGGCCTGGGGCCTGGCCTCCCTCGGGCTCTTTGTTGAACCCATCCTTTCCTCCCCTGCCAGCCTCTAGTCTCAGATGACCCTCATCCTCTGCAGCAGGCTACGGTTCCACTTGAAGACCTGCAGTCTGACAGGACCTCCCAAGACTAGTGTTCTGTCTGTCCCCAGAATGTGGCCCCTATGCCCACTGCTTTCCCCTCCTAAACACCCTCCCCAACTGTCCCCACTACTGTTCTCTCCCACCCACGCTGGGACTGTCTCACTAGCAGCCATTAATTGGGTTTCTTAAATTTGTGGTGTTTACTTTTCAACCATGCAACCTTACACACCCAAGCCTGTGAGAAGACTCTGAGTTTGAAGCCTGTTGTTAAAATACAGCTGTGGAAGTTTTAACAGCCGCAGAACCCATGCAGCTGTGTCTATGAGACCCTATCTGGTGTCTCCCACTGCTGGGGAGCACACACTGGAATGATTGTTGAACATGGGAAAACTCAGCTAGCCATTTCTTAACATGCAGTCTGGCAAAGGGCAATGTGAGAGTCCTTTGAAAGGATTTCTATTATTATTTTCCATTTTAAAAAAAAATCCTTGCATTTCTGGCTGCTTTTCATTTGTTTAAGTACTTATGCCTATTATTTATCCTCAGCCCTTTGACGTAGGCAGTGAAGGAATTACCTCTAATAGCAAAAAAACCCATAAAAGTGTTGGTAGGAAAATTAGCATGACCCTGTTTCTCTAAGCCTTTTGTCTTTTTCCCGTGCCTTGATTTCTGCTGCTCTGGGCAATTCTCTACATTCTGCTCAGATGACTTTCTTGCTTACCATGGTGTGATCTCAGGCCAGTGTTCTTCCTGCCGTCTCCATTCCATGCTCCACAGCTGTTGTCCCATCTGCCCTGGGTGTTCTTCCTCAGCATATGCCCCCTCCTCCCTGCCCATTAGCCTCCCAGGCTTCTCTTTCACTGAAAAACTGATCTGAGAAGGAAACTCAGGAAGCAGCCACGGCCTGCTTCTTGCTCCAAACAGGGAGTTTTACTGGATTACCCTCGGTTTGGTCATGCAGGGTCGGGAGGGAGACGCTTAGCCTTGCCTGTTCTCCTGTTCTTATTGAGTCACCTGAGATAGATGGTGATGCTTAGATAGAATGTTAGCAGGCTTGCAGAGGGGCTAGCTCTGCAGGGTCAACAGGAATCGAGGGATTGACCCTGGCCCCTCCGCAGGTCTCCCATGTGACTGGCTCAGAACAGCATAGAGGACATTGACCAGAGGGGGCTGGTCACACCCAGTAATTGCTTTCTTCTTCCCTGTGAAAGTGAAGATGTGCCTGAGGAGAATATGGTGTCTGTATCAGTGCTGTGTTTGCTGCTCCTTTTGTGGTCTCACAGACTCCATGGTAGAGGCCTGGTTTTCATATAGTCGGGCCAGGGAGATGGACATGAACAGAGGTCAGCTTGAGGGTTGTGCTTTGTCATGGCCTGCGGTGGGGGGGGGGGGGGCGGGCGCAGGTTACTTGACTATGTGCCGCCACTCCAGACTACCCCCGCTTTTCATAGGACACATGGGCTAACTCTGCTCTGAGGCTTCTGTATGCCTGGACACTGCAAAGCCCTGTGCAACAGCCTATCCCATCCTCACTCATCTGAAGATGCCTTCGTCCATTTTTTTATTTTCCTTATTTACTTAGGGGCTAGAGAGATGACTCCATAGTTAAGAGCACTTGCTGCTCTTCAGTGGACCCAGTTCCGTTCCCAGCACCTATGTCAGGTGACTCACAATAGTTCGTGACTCCAGTTCCAGGAAGTCTGACGCCTCTGGCCTCAACAGGTGCCTGCATTCCTGTACACATACCTACACACAATAAAAAGTAGTAAATCTTTAAAAAAAATAAATTTATTTTGTGTGTATGGGTGTTTCCCTTCATGTATGTCTGTGCACTCTTTGCATGCATGTGGTACTTGTGGAAGCCAGGATATCGGAAATCCCCTAGGAGTTACATACAGTTGTGAGCCATAGCTGTAAGTGTGGAAAATTAAACCCAAGCCCTCTGCGAGAGTAGCCAGTGCTCTAACCACTTGGTCCTCTCTCTGACCCTTCTTTCCCTATTAGAGCATGTTTCCCTACTTCTGAGTTCAGGTGGTGCAGGGGTCTGTTCCTTGGTTAGTGGATAGGCAGTGTGCAGGTCCATGTTGGTGGAGACATGCACAATGTAAAAACTTGTTGGAGTTCCTAAAGCCGAGGTGGAGCTTTTATGGCCTGGTTTGCTTTAAGCCTCCCCACAGAGTCTAGAAGTTCCATGTCACAGCATTATTTCTCCCACAGATTTGGTTAGGTGCCTGGGATTTTCACATAGGCCTGTGTCGTCAGCAGACATAGGGCAGGTTGAAGCATGTGTTAACGTTTGTCACAGTTATCAGTCCCATGTCAAGTGCTGTCTGTGCCCAGGTTCAAGGTGGTACCGTGTATGTTTGAGGCATATGTGAGACCTTTTGGCCAAAAAGCCAGATTAGACTGCTCTCTGAAGGCTGATGCTGTGCTGTTAGGGAGTAAATTTGCGTTGTACCCCAGTAATAAGTACAGCAGAGTTGTGGGTGGAGAGGTTGTCCCTGCTTCTCTGTGTCAGTAAGACTAGGGATTATTAAACAAGTCAGTGGGTAGTGTGTGAACGCAAGCAGTCAGGAGGATGTGACTGTAGGCTAGAAAAGGGGCGCCCAAAGCTCATAGAAAGAACCAGCCTTGCCGTGGGATCTCTTATACACTGTAACAATTTTGTCATAACTAAAACACTGATTCCAGTAGCCAGGAAGGAAGTATAGGTGGGACGACTACACTAAGAGAATTCTGGGAAAAGGAAAGGCAGAGAATCAATCATTAGTCAGACACAGAAGAAGCAAGATGCCTTACTGAGAAAAGATACCAAGCCACGTAGCTAAGCAGACAAGAATTATGGGTTAATTTAAGTTGTAAGAGCTAATTTATAATAAGCCTGAGCAACTGGGTGATCGTGGTGTAAACCTTTAATCCCAGCACTTGGAAGGCAGAGGCAGGTGGATCTCAGTGAGTTTGAAGACTGTTACACAGAGAAACATTGTCTTGAAAAACCAAGATGATGATGATGATGATGATGATAGGCCTGAGCTGATAGGCCAAACAGTTTATAATTAAGCTTCTGTGTGTTTCTTTGGGACTGAATGACTGCAGAACCAGGCTGGACAGAAACTTCCTACACAGCCTTATCCCCATTGTAGACCTGAGATAATGAACTAACATTGTTCTATGCCACTGTGTTTGAGTGCCTTATTTCAAGAGCAATAAATGGAAAACAAGCAGGCCCTGAAAGAAGGGGAACTAGCCGTAAGGGCTGAGAGAGCTGGCCAGATGTAGGGTCACCTGCAGGAAGGACACACAGATCAACTTTTATTAGAAACAGCCAATGGATCACTTAGGTTTGAAATAAGGTAAAGATGCCAAACCCAAAATTTAGAACAAGGCCCACTGATGCTGTATGGGGATAAATTTGGGAAAACTTGTAGGTAGGGACAATTCTAGCACCTATTCCCTTAAGAGGAGATGGCAACATGTGACTGATTCTGTGGGGATTTGTGCAGTGGAGCCATTATAGATGTTTGGGGACATAAACCTAATCGTTTGGGTAGATGACCAGCATTTTTAGCTGATTTAGTGAGCCCTGGTTTTGACCCAATACGATAACTCATGAATTCTCAGGAATCTGGAAATATTCTAGTGCACATGTGATTAAGGGACCCTGAGACTAGACCTGTCACGTCTGCTTTTTGTCATGACGGAAACTGAGACTACAACCAGAGTCCAGCGTTGAAAGCAGGTTTTAAACACACATTTTCCAGAGACAGGGTATCTCTGTGTAGTTCTGTCTGTCCTGGAACTCACTCTAGATCAGGCTGGCCTTGAACTCAGAATCCACCTGCCTTTTCCTCCCAAGTGCTAGGATTAAAGATAGTCTTGTTGTGTGTCCCAGGCACCTACCCTGTGCTGTCAACAGGCTTCTGGCCACAAACTTAAGGTCCTTCTGCCTCAGCCACCAAGTGCTAAGACCACAAATGCATGCCACCATGTCCAACTCATGTTGTCAGGCATTGGGTTTTTTGTTTAAGATTTAATTTGTGTGAGTCTGCCACAGGCAGGCGTTAGACCTGCAGAAAGCCAAATCAGATTGACAAACTGTATTACAGGGCGGGCAGCTCTGAAAGTCTGCTGCCTGCCCCTGTTGGAAGCACATGCAGGAGACTAAGTGTGCTACGCTGCAGAGGCATCGGTGCATTTACACCTGCCCCAGGTGCCCATTTACTGTAGAAAGCTAGGCATCACTAGCAAGTTGCTAAGAATTTACTCCTCTGTCTTATAATCAGAAATGTCTTGGACCACATACAGGCACATCTGTGAGGTGTCTGGAATACCTCACAATTTGCCATCAATATGGACACACTCCATTCTCAGTGCTATCAGTCATTTTAAAATACAAGCTTTCTCAACAAAAGAGGTAGCCAATTACTTTGCTAACTCGGGCAATTTTGTAAAGCGTAATTCCTTATGGGGCTCTCTTAATCTGGGGCTCCTCATAGGAGTAATCATTTTGCTCTTGTTTTCCCTTCCAGTCATCTTCAAATGTTTAGGATTTGCTATCCATTCAGCCCAGAGAAATATTCATGTGCTTCGGTTGAACAATAATTTTAAAATGACGGGCAGTGGTGGCACTCACCTTTAATCCCAGCACTAGGGAGGCAGAGACAGGGGGGTCTCTGTGAGTTCAAGGCCAGCCAGGTCTACAGAGCTAGTTCCAGGACAGCTAGGGCTGTTAACACAGAGAAACCCTTTCTCGAAACCAAAAAAAAGTAAGAAAAGAAAAATAATAAAAAAGGAGATACAGCCCAGAGGATAACAGAGCTACTCTGGGTGCATCCTGGAGATCAAAGCTCCGGGAGCATTGTTTCCAGAATGCCCCTTGCTGCTGTGTGCCTGTATGGTGTGATTACTGTATGACGGGATCCCACTGTATCTAGTATAGTGTGATTGTTTCCTGGGAAAACCCCACTTCTCACTGGGCAATTTACTTGTAGATCATAATGAAGATGCCTTTTACAAAAACAGTAATGATTAGTTAGATCTATGAATTAATTGAATTTTGAGTTTATCTAAGATTCAGGTGGTTAAGACCGTAAAGATGATTAGGGAAATGATTTAGGTTATTCTCCAGTTGTTCCAATAAAAGATACAAAGAAGACAATATACCTCCAGAAGAGGAAAACAGTAACAAGGAAGTTCCATGCACTATAGACCCTTGAGTTCTGCCTGTGGAGAAACAGGCTGATGATCAAAGAAAACAATTACGTCCCTGCACCAGGGTTCGGCCTGAGCCCCTCGGTCATGGAGCTTACAGAGTTAGTCACAGGCCCTGGTGTGCACCTCGAAAAACGAAGTTGTGAAAGGAGAATAAATGACCCTGTTGTGTAAAGGAAAATAGGTGGTGGACTGACCATTGTTTAATGTTTCTCTAGAGTAGAAAATAGAAATCTGTTGCACTGAGACTGCAGACAGCTGCCTGCCAGGACAAAAGGAGCTGGCTGGACTATACTCAGCTTGCTTAAAACTTTGTTAATCGGTCATAAAAGAATCGTTGCTTTGGGGTGAAGAAGAACGTGTAACTTGTGTTCTTACTGTGATTTCTTCTTACTTAAAGATTTTAATTTCTGGGCTGGAGAGATGGCTCAGAGGTTAAGAGCATTGCCTGCTCTTCCAAAGGTCCTGAGTTCAATTCCCAGCAACCACATGGTGGCTCACAACCATCTGTAATGGGGTCTGGTGCCCTCTTCTGGCCTGCAGGCATACACACAGACAGAATATTGTATACATAATAAATAAATAAATTTTAAAAAAAAGATTTTAATTTCTTTTTGAAAAATATGTGGTTCATGGCTATGAAGTAAGCTTTTCATGCATAGAAATCTTTGTATTAGGAGGTATAAAAGGGATAAGAGAAATAGAGAGGAGAGATGTAAAGGAAAACATCAGAAAAGAAGAACAAAGAGGATTAGGAGAATGTTCACAGGGAAACAACTGGAGAGACAAATAGGGCAGAAGAACAGAACAGAGAAAGACAGAAAAAGAACAACCAACAGGCCCCTCAGAAGAAGTCTCCTGTGTGTGCAGCTCTGCTGACACACCTCCTTTGCAGTTTCCCTGAGCTTCTAAAAGCTGGTCTGCACGGCAGCACCACAGATGCTGTGTATTTTAAAGAAATGGGGACTGAATCAAGATGCCTCCCTCTCCAGTCCACATGGCACTGCTCTGTGCTGTCAGTCGCCAAGGACCCCAGCTGTCTCGGAGGACCCTGCTTCTGGGCCCGGCCCTTGCACATTTCCCTGATGCTCATTTCGTTGTGGTCAGGAAAAATGCAAGGGCTGTTTGGAGTCTGGCTTGTCCTGCGTGTGCTGGGGCTGTCACTGAGACCTGGTGCTAAGGTCATTTTCCCATTTGTGTTCCTCTCAGATCGACTCATGGTGCAAAGAAAACAGCTATGTGATTGCCGGCTATTACCAAGCTAATGAGCGTGTGAAGGATGCCAGGTACGGGTTGCACACCTGTGGATGGTGGGGTTGGAAGCCACAAAACCATCCCTAAGGTGCTTTTGACCGCCACCCCACCCCACCCCGGCTTAAGTTTCAAAGCTTGTATAAGCCCCCACTCTCTGCTTTATCAGGTGTGCGGGCAACTGGCCAGTTAAATAGCTAGGAATTCATCCATGGCTCCTCTGTCATGCAGGGAGGGAACTTAAAGAGGGGGAGCAGCTGCCAACCCTGCTTGTGTCCACCAGCCTGTTGCCTCTCCAAAACAAGAGGCTGTGGAGTGGAAGGCAAAGTAGCTCTCTTGCGTAAGTAAAGTGTTTGGGATTTGGAACTGTTAGAATGGGACCTTTGGTAAAAGTGTGGCCTTTGGTGCCTTAATTGGCTCCAGGTTCCTGCATCAAAGATGCCACTATGTCAGCTCTCTTGAACAAGATAAGTTAACTGTCTGCTGTCTGCTTCAGACTGGGTCCCAAGAGCCTAGCAAAGGACACCTTCAGTCAGGGCTGCTTAAGGATCTCAGAGACAGGCTACTCCTAAAGGGGTGGGCCATAGATAGAACTCAGGAACTGAGTGCAGGGACCAAACGGTGACAGCAGCCTCCATCCCTCAGCCCTCCAGGGCCATCGAGGAAGAGCTGGTAAAGAAGGCCACTTCCAGAGGAGCAACATCTTTTGGCCACAAGACATGGCCATCAGCCAGCCTAATACGTCCCACATCAGGGAAGGGAGGCCCAGATTAGTCAGTACTGATGTCCCTCTTCCATGCCCTCTGCTGTCCTCCAGAGGCTTCCTTTGGCTGCAGGCAGCTAGAAGTCAGGGGCAGCTGGAAAATACCCACACAGTAAGTACTGGGTTTTTTGTTTTTGTTTTTGTTTTTGTTTTTGTGTCTTGTGTGGTTGGGTGGAGCCAACAGACCCCAGTGTGCTTATGCAGTATAAGCTCTTCTAGAAATAAAACAGTGAGTTGGGAAACCCCCACAATGGTCACTGTTGAAGCTTAGGAATATCCAAGAAATATGCCCATCTTATCGTTGGAGGCCTACATCCAGACAGGGGTTCTTATTAAGTTGGTGACCAGCTAGATGCTGGGCTCATTGAGTACATCAAGGCACCTTCTGGGACCACCCAGAACCTGTAGAAGCCCTGTGCTCAGGTCCTGTTTATTCTTCCACCTCTTGTTCTGTGTGCCTTCTGGCCCTTATTCTGCCTCTGGGTGGGTGACAGGTACTGTTCAGCCTGTTACAAAAGCTGCTCTGGAAAAAGCTATGGATGCCGCACAGCTAGCTCTGTGCAGAACCAGGTGGGCCCTTCAGTCGACCTGTGAGGACCCTGAAGGAAAGCGGCTAGAGAAGCTTTGTCAACATGAGATACGAATGCCGTTCATTGGTCAATCTAGAATGGCATCAAGCTCACAGCATAGAGAAGATGTGAAATGACTTAGAGTCCTAAAAGTGGTTTGGCTTAAAAAGAGGATTTGGTTGCCAGGGCCCTGAACCTCCTTGAGTAGCAGGCATGTAGAGACTCAAGCTCATAGAGTCCACAGCCCAGCGGTCATCAGCTTGCCCCAGGCAGCACTCCATTAAGTCCCAGAAGGAGGAATAAGCCTCATCCTTTTAGGAGATGCCCTCAGGGTCCCCTCTCCAAGAACTTGGTGGAGGAGTAAGTCCCACTCTGGCAATGTACCACATGGTCCCAGTGGCATTCATAGCCCCCAAGTCATCTCAGTGAGCCAGCACTCAGTCAGGTGGCTCCTTTGTTGCTTGTCAGTTGAGGTGTTGGTGAACTATACTGACAGAGGGACCTTTGATGACTCAGCTACAGTATGTATGGTAGACTCATGGGTCCTTCTCTACAGCCCAAACCAGGTGGCAGAGAAGGTGGCCTCCAGGATCGCTGAGGGCTTCAGTGACACTGCACTCATCATGGTGAGTCTCATTCCTGCTGCTGCTTAAACTTCCCTCCTGTCCCAGCTCCAGGCCTCAATTGTTCCAGCACTGTAGTGGGCTGGGTACTACTGCGGTCACAGCACTGCCGTGGCAAGGACCACTGAGAAAAGCCAGTGTATCCTAGGGAGTCCGTGAGGACTGGGCGGTGGTGGCGCACGCCTTTAATCCCAGCACTTAGGAGGCAGGTGGATCTCTGAGTTCGAGGTCAGCCTGGTGTACAAGAGCTAGTTCCGGGACAGCTAGGGCTGTTACACAGAGAAACCCTGTCTGGGGGAAGGGGAAGGGTCTGGTTGTTGGAAAGGTGGGGAAATGCCTCACACTCACTCTACAACAGAGTTCCCTTGGTGTGAGCCTGTCTGTGCTGTTGGTGCTGCTTGCATAGGAGCCCAGGAAGGCGTTGCTCTTCTCAGCCCCGTCCTCATGCTTGTCCCAACCCTCATCTTCTCAGGTGGACAATGCCAAGTTCACGATGGACTGCGCAGCACCTACAATCCATGTCTACGAGCACCATGAGAACAGGTGGCGATGCAGAGACCCACACCAGTGAGTGCAGTGCCCTCCTGCAGGTTCTAGGCTGTGGGTGGTACTTGCTGGTATCCACACGGACCGATGGCACCACGCTCCTCATGTGTTTGGTTTGATTTCTGATGACATAGATGATTCAGCCATGTCCCTCTAGGTTCTTCAGTGCCCTGTTTGGAGGGGACCTGTCCATTAACAAGTGTCTTGGGTCCATCCTTATGTGTTTCCCAGCAGCTGCTCTGTCCTTAGCAGCCTGTGTGGTCTTGGGGTAGGTATGAGGCTGACTCTGCTGTCTGCCCTGCAGCGACTACTGCGAGGATTGGCCGGAGGCACAGAGGATCTTGGCGTCGCTCCTGGACAGCCGCTCCTATGAAACACTCGTGGATTTTGATAACCACCTGGATGACATTCGGAACGACTGGACAAACCCTGAGATCAACAAAGCAGTTCTGCACCTGTGCTAGATGAGTGCATAACTGGACACTGCACTACAGAGAAGAGAAAAACCTATTTTTAAATTTTGAGTAATAGTGGACTAAGTCTGTGGTGTGTGCCTTGGAAGGGGAGTCTGATCAGCATCCTTCAGGGCAGGGTTGTGAAGAGGTGTAGGCCACCCAGGCTTTGGGTTCCTTTTCTGTGCTGCCCAGTCCTGCCCATCAGAGCTCTTTCTGCTTGTCCCGGTTGTTCCCATTAAACAGTTCTAGTCTTTTATAATCTAGAAAGGGTGCATTTCAGTCTTTACTCTGGTGAGTGTGTAAGTCATCGGGCAGTCCCGTGGACTGTTGGAGCATCGTCTGATCAGCCAAGTTGGTGTCAAGGCTGGGAGCTGTGGGCTCCACAAAGCCGCACAGGGAAAAGAGCCAGCACTGCTGCCTGAGAATCCTCAGTGTACAATGAACACAGCACACTGGTAATGAGAGCAGAGATCCCATGAGGAGAGGAAGCTGAACCCTTGAACATTCCCAAAACCTGACTCAGCTGCTCCGGGTCTTCAGAATGAGACCTGCTTTGTATTTAAAATAAACAAGAAACAAACATACAAAAAAGGAAGAAAAAAAAAACCCGAGTGTTCAGTGTCTCCGGGATGTCCCAAGCAATGTGCTTGTTAGCTTGGATCATTTGACCAAGTGTTCTGACCATCTTAGGAAATAGTAAGACTTTTGGTGCATTGCGTGTTGTCCTTCGGACTGTTTTACACAGAGAAATAGTGCCTTTCCTTAGGCTTCATGAGACTGGTGGCAAGGGTTGAAGACAGCGTTCTCCCCTGCTCTTAAGTGGGACAGCCAGGGTCGCTGGCTTAGAGCAAACTCTGCGTGTGACTCCCCCCCCCCCCATTCCAGCACCTCTTGCCTTTAACTGTTTTGTTTTGCTCTTGATTTTGTTTGTTGGTTGGGGGAAGTGTTTAGTTTTGGTTGACTGAGAATATACCTTTGCCGTCCTGATTGACTTGGTGTTGGCTATGCACACGGAGAAGCCTGGCCTTGAACCTGTGTGCAGTGATCCCTCTGCTTTTGCTTCTCAGTTCCTGAGATCAGCACCCTCCCAGCTCTCCTTAACCTTTCAAGCTGACCTTGTCAGTTCCTGAACTAAGGAAAGTTGAGACACCAGTCCCTGTCCTTCCTCACCCTCATACAGAGGACTTTGCAGGCTCCTCTGTATCCGAGGACAGCTGTCGGCATGTGCTCTCCCCTCCACCCCCTGCCTTGCTTATTTTTGAGATGGGAGTTTTTGTGCTAGAGCCGGAGTTGGGCAGCAGCTCACAGTTCCTCTAGCACAGAAGGGGAGGATCACAAGTTTGAGTCCAATTCTTCTTAATGAGTTTCAGGCCAACTTAGACTAGAGTGAGAACATGTTCTGAAAACAAAATCTGAGTGCAGCAGGTCACCTACGTACGTTGTCTTCAGGGACAACTCCCTTAGAGCTGTGGCTGGCAAATGGTTCTATATAACTCACACATCTAAGAACAGGAACCTGAGGCAGGAGCTGAAGCAGAAGCCGTGGAGGAACGCACTAGGCTCATTCTCTGAGGTTTGTTGAGCCTGCTTTCTTACATGATTCAGGACCATATGCCTGAGAGTAGCGCCTCCCAGTGGGCCGTTCTACGTCAATCATTAATCAAGAAAATGACCCACAGACTTGTCTGCAATCTAATGGTAGCAATTCCTTAATTGAGGAAGGGAGGTAACTAGACTATCTCAAGTTGACAAAACTAACCTGCAGTGTATTTGTCAGGGTTCTCTAGAGAAACAATTGATGGGGGGGGGGGGTTCTTTTATATAATAATATATATTTATGTAAAATGGGATTTATTAGAGTCACAGGTAATGATCCAGCTATTCCAACAATATCTGGCAACCAGTGGATAATTCAAGAATCCAGTGTTCAGTCCACAAGACTGGATGCCTCAGCTGGTCTTAAGTATACACTGAAATCACAAAGAAGTAGGCTCTAATGCCATTGAAAGAATGAACTTGCCAGTGTGGGCAAGAGTAAGCAGGCAGGGGCTGGAGAGATGATGGCTCAGAGGTTAAGAGCATTGCCTGCTCTTCCAAAGGTCCTGAGTTCAATTCCCAGCAACCACATGGTAGCTCACAACCATCTGTAATGGGGTATTTTTTTTTTTTTAAGAAAAGAGCAGACAACAAACAAAAGCTTCCTTCCATGTTCTTTATATAGGCTGTCACCAGAAGGTGTGGCCCAAATTTAAGGTGGATCTTTCTACCTTAAATGATAAATCAAGGAAAATCCTCAGAGATGTACCCAGCAGTTTGGGGTTCAATTAATTCCAGATGTAATCAAGTTGATGATCAAGAATAGCATCACAAGCAGACAGTTGTACCTTGTCAACTTGACATGCAAAGAGCACTAGTAAACCATAATGCTTCTGTTCTTGTTTATCCCCAAGTTGCTTTGATCAGTTTTAGCACAGCAATGGAAACTAAGCTAGGACACCATTAACAAGTATAGTACAAATTATCAATATAAAATTCTCTTAAACATTCCAGAAAACTAGAAAGGATTTTGAAGGTCTTACTGTAAGGCAGTGATGAAAAGGTAGGCCTGTCTAGCCTGCTTTAAATGTACAGTGTCTCAGTGTAGTGTGTTGAAACAGAACCTGTTGGGAGGATTTTGTATCTGTTTAATTTTTTTTAAATGAGTTTTCCATTTAATTTTGTTGGTTGGTTTTTCTGAGACAGGGTTTCAGTGTGCATCCTTGACTGGTCTGGCACTTACTGTGTAGACCAGGCTGACCTCATCTGCAAAGCTCCACTGGCCTCTGCCTCCTGGGTCTTAAAGGAATTTTTCATTTCTACAATTGCCTTTAAGGACTAAAGATACTGGCAGGCAGTGGTGGATACCTTTATTATCAGCACTGGAAAAGCAAAGGCAAGTGGATCTATGTGAGTTTATGGCCAGCCTGGTCTACAGAGTGAGATCCAAGACGGCCAAGGCTACAAAGAGAAACCTGTCTCCCCCCCCCCCCCCAAAAAAAAATGCTGGGCAGCGGTGGCACACCCCTTTAATCCCAGCAGAGGCAGGCAGATCTCTGTGAGTTCAAGGCCAGCCTGGTCTGCCAGAGCTAGTTCCAGGACAGGCACCAAAGCTACACCAAAAAACTCTGTCTCAAAAAAAAAAAAATTAAGACCAGGTGTGGTGCTTGTTTTTAATCCCGGCACTCTGGAGGCAGAGACAGGCAGAAGTCTATGAGTTCTAGGCCAGCTTGATATACATAGCTCCAAGACAGCCAGGGCTATGTAGAGAGACCCTGTCTCCAAAATAAAGTTAAGGATACTATCCAGGCATGGTGGCATACACCCTTAATCCTGACACTAAGGCTGAGAAAATTGTCACAAGTTGAGACCAGCCTGGTCAATATTGTGAATTCCAAGACAACCTGAATCTAGAATGAAGACTCCAAAAAAAAAAAAAAAAAAAAAAAACCCAGGAAATAATACTAAAGGATGCTAATATGGAAAAACAGACAACAGCCTCATCGGAAACTATGCAGCTGAGGAAAAGCTAATTTAGTGGTGTGGGAGTGTTTGCGTAAACAGTGTGTGTCCAGTGGTGCCCGTGCAATAGAAAGCAGTTTGGAAATCCTGGGGAAGTCTGTAAGGCCAGCAAAATGGCTCCGCAGGTAAATGCACCCTTCAAGCCTGGCAGTCTGTTCTGTGCCTGGAACCCACATGTTAGAAAGAGATAGGTTGTCATCTGACCTCCACACGTGCACATATCTGATAAATAAATGTTATTTTTAAAGCCTTTGTGTAATTGGCATCATTTATTCTAGGAGCTTATTTTTCTGATGTCTGGAGAAACTTATTTCTGTCTGATACTTTCCACTTCGTGCCGACTTCTGTCGTTTCCCTGTCAGAATCGCCCGCTTTGGCAGAAAGCTCAGTGGAGTGCTGCCCTGCCAGCTCACAGATGAGGACATGAAAGGTGTGTGTGTTGTGCATAATTGGCGCTAGAGATTGAACCTGGGGCCTCATAACATGCTCATTGAGCTTTCTACCCCGTGAGCTAAATCCCCAGCCCTGTAAATACTTCATCCTCTTCAAATTGGCTTGCAACTTCTTGTGTGCCTGTGATATCCTCAATCGGACCCCTGTCGTTCCTTCAAAGCTGTTTCTGTAAGCCTCCATCCCCCAGGACTAGCTGCCTGGAGAACCACTCTTGCAGGTTCCTGAAAGGCTGCAATCTGAAGTGCTCGCTCTGGATTCAGGTCTGGAGCAGTGGTAGAAAGGCCGGGGATCCAGGGATCGATCAACTGCTTTCCAAGCAGGCAACACCAGCACAGCTGAGACCTGACCCTTACTGGAGGTGAGCCTTGGCTCAAAGTGCCTGGCATGCTCTGCTGAGTGCTGGCTGAGAAAATTCCAGATACCTTCATAAGTCTAATGAATTAGACTTCCAAATACATGTGACATCCATGGGCAAAGCTCCCACCCATCAGGAGGAACTAGGAATGGGGAGTCAACCATTCAGCCTCAGGATCATCCACACCTCCAGATTTTCTGTTGCCTGCCCCTGGGAGGGAACTGGGTATCTGTGAATTGGATGCATTCTTGAACACGCCCTGGACTTCCGGCAGGCTTTGCCTCTTAGGGTGATGGCTTAGAGCCCGGCAGATAGTGCCAACAGCCCTATAGTGCTCTGGATAGTCCAGAATGGGGTTAGATGAATTCCATTTGCCACTTGACTCTGTGACCCTGAGCATTTTACTGCCCACACCCCTCTGATAACATTCACCTACAGGGCCATGCACAGTGGAGAGAATATGCTCACGCTGGAATATATTCAGGTGACATTGAGAAAGCTTTTAGCTGCGAAATGTTTTCACATCTAGAATGTGTCACTGGTCAGATGCATCCAAGGGCACCACCTGGCCAAAGACAGCATAGAAAGGGTAAGAGGATAAAATATTCAAAAGCTGGCACAACTTTCACATCGTCACATTGTTTCTATCAGCTGCCCCTTCAGCTAGAGTTGGTCTTGTCTCCGTCTACAGACGGGGACACCAAAGCCTGCTCAGCCTGCAAAAATGACTTCATAGGTTCGCACAACAGTAAGTGATGGGTGGAGGAGAGGGTTTGAGCTAGCCGTGCCTCTACCGGAGACAGAAACTCAGTGTTGGCATGGCATGTGTGAGACTCGGGTTCAATACCCTGTACTGCAGAAAACCCTCTCTCCGCACTCAGTTCCCTTGCAACCCCA